CTCTCCTCTCTCTCTCTCTGCCTCTCTCTCTGCCTCTCTCTGTTCTTCTCTTCCTTTCTTTCTTATTTTTATTTTTGAGGCCAGGTTGTACTATGTAGCACAACTTGGCCTTGAATTCACTGTGATCTTCCTGCTTCAACCTCCTGAGTGCTGGGATTGCAGGGTGCACCACCATACCCAACTGATACGGATTTTAACTTCAGGATTTGCTGTGTTTTAATAAACAACATTAATTAGTGACAAAAGCAAGAGGTTAACTTCTTTCAATATTTTCTTTCTTTTCTTCTTCTTCTTCTTCTTCTTCTTCTTCTTCTTCTTCTTCTTCTTCTTCTTCTTCTTCTTCTTCTTCTTTTTTTTTTTTTTTTTTTTTTTTTCAGTACCGGAGGTTGAACCCAGGACCCTATGCAAGTGCTTATTCTACTGAGATATCTCCCTGGCCCCTTCAGTATTTTCTTATTTGGAGGGGAAAATACAATGAGGCAGTGACTACTTAGTTAATCCTCCTAGCCCTATAGCAGACCCCAGAGTTTCATCAGTCCACTGAGTAGTTATCTGGAGGTGAGTGCAATAAATGCAAGAGGTCAGTTGCTCAGCTGGAGTCCCAGGGGTGCCAGCATCCTTTGGCCACCCTTACAGCTCCTCTGCAGTAATTTAGTGTAAATCCTTGTGTAGAGTTGTGACACACATGGGCTGACAAGACAGGAAGCTGGCTGGAGACAGTCTCCTGGTTGGGAGACACCAGACTTTGTCACTTAGCGCAAAAGCAGTAGCTGGCACTTTGTGCTGGTTTGTATCCATTTTCCACAGCTCCTGACCCCAGTGCAAGAACTTGGGGTTGGGCTTGGGGATTTAGTCAGCAGCATGGCCCCTGCCTTGCAAGCATGAGGGCTTGAGTTTGAGTCTCAGTACTTTTCCTCCAAAAACCGTGGGGCCTCTCAAGGTCACAGTGTCCCAACAATGAGATGATTCTTGCCTGGTTTGTCCTCTCAAGCTGTAGAGATGATATGCACAGAGGCGTGGGGTGCTGAGGCATTCCTGCAGGAGTGAGCGAACAGGTGAGGCTCTTCCGTGATGGGGAGTGTAGGTGGATAATCTGGGACAGCATTTCCCAGCGGTTTTACTGAGTAATCATGTGCAGGAAGAGGCCGACTTTGGAGGACCAACAGGACAGCACCAGGTGAGGGGCAGGAGGTCGAGCATCCCGCCTTAGATGCCCATACCCGACTGATGTCCAGTCTGGGGTATGAGGGCATCAGGACATCACGGAGGAGCCAGGGAGGAAGAGGTCCATTTGGGACTCAGTGGAGCACTAGCTTGTGAGGCGTGAGCCTGGGTGGAGGAGAAGAAGGCATCGATACCCAAACCGAAGCGTACCAGGACTTGGTAGCTGGGAACTGAGAATATACTGCTTCGGGCAGGAGTGGCGGTGCGCATCTGTAGTCCCAGCACTCTGCGGGCTCGAGGCCAGGGGATTCCGAAGCCTGCCTCAGCCTGGGCAACCTAGTGATTTAATGGAAGCCTGTCTTATAAGTAACTAGATACGTGACTGAATAAATATGTGAAATTATTTTTGTTTTACAACTTATTTATTGCATCAGCACACGTTTGGAGCACATCGTGCTTACATTCCTTTTACATTCCTCAGTTCTTTTTTTCCATTCCCTTCCCCTGCTGGGAGTGGGGATGTAGCTCAGAGTTCAATTCCCAGCATTTAAAACAAAAGTTGAAAGCCTCAGTGAGATAGGAGACAAGCCAGGTGATGCTAGGAAAGAAAGGACATCAAGCGAGGGTCCCAGAGGCCAAGTGAAGAGCACACTCAGAAAGAAGAAGGTTCTAGAATCTCTGGCAGAGCCGCTGCAGGCAGAGGGGGTGAGCGGCAGACGGACCATTGGTGGAGCAGCAGGTGTGGGGCGGCCACCTTCCCCGAGCGCGTCCAGTCAGAGCGCGAGCATGGGCCCATTGGCTCTTTGAGGGAAGGGTCGGAGAGAAACTGCTTAGGTCAGGCAGAGGCAGGGAGCGTGGGCAGCAGCGTCCATCTGCAGAGATGGATGGCAGAGGAGGGCGAGAGGCGCTCAGAGCGCAGGAGGGGTAATGGGGAGCAAGGGGAGACAGCCTCCTGGCCAGGCCACAGTGTGGTGTGCCAAGTCCTGAGGGGCCAGCTGAGCCTGGAAGGCATGGCCCTGCCGAGGTCGCTCTGCCCTCAGGGCCCTCTGTCGTGCTGTGCAGCTGCCTGCGCGCTCTGGGCTCACAGAAGACAGGAGAGCAACACCGGTGATATTCTAAGGAAAAGGAAACATTTTCACCAATGTATTCTGGGAGCGACCTGTTACATCAGCGGCAGAAGACACTCTGTCCCCTTCTTGCCCTTTTTGTGCCCTCTCGTCCCTCCCACTATCCCCTGAGTGTGCTGCCGTGTGAGTGCGGTCAGGCCACCTCTGGCATATTGTGTTGTTTGAGTCAAAGCCAAATGAATGGCTGAGAATTTAACCTATGTTTTGCATTTATGTTTTCCAGTAGTTTGCTGGAAAACTAAGGGCATTGTCTTCCAGCCTGCGTAGAGCATAGACAGTAACAAACTATTTTGCTTCTCTAAGTCTTATGAAAGTGCACCCAGGTATTCTGAGTTAGAAATCTTCTAGTGGGGTAAATGAAGTTTCTTCCTGAAAGTATGCCTCTCCTGTCCCGCCAGAGACAGGGGGCTGCTGGGACCTAAAAGCCGCTCAGACATGCCGTACACGTGAACTGTTGCGTGTGATACCCAGGTCTCCTCACAGCCACAGGCTCACGGGTGGTACTGTGGGAGGTGACTGGTGCTGTCAGTGAATTCCTCCACGGACCAGTCAGACCCCACTCAGGTGCTGGGAGGTGGAGCCGGGCTGGAGGAGGTGGGTCACTGCGGCCATGCCCTGGAAAGGGGCATCTCATGCCTGTTCCTGCTTTTGTGTGCTCTGCTGCCCCATCATGAGCTCTACCACGTGGCGCCACCCTGGAGCCAGCTGACCTGAACTAAAATTTCTTTTTTAAGGTGTGGCAGGCATTGTGTCTCCATGAGAGAAAACAACTGAGTGTAAAACTTGTAAAATGTCTGTTAGTATACAGGCTGTGTGTGTGTGTGTGTGTGTGTGTGTGTGTGTGCATGTGCTACATTTTGCCAGAGCATCCTTTGATGGAAAGATGCATCTGGGTAAGGTGGGGAGAAGAGCTTGCAGCAGGGAACAGCCTCAGTGTTCTGCCGCTCCCTCCATGCGCTCCAGCATCCCTCTGACCCAAAGCAGTCCAGGGCCATGGTAGCCGCAGCACCCCACCAGAGACCTCAGCTGTCCCCTCCCGCCCTACACGCCCCTGCCTCGCCTGCCCATTTTGGTGACAGCAGTATATACTTCTAAGTATATTAGCTGGTAGTTTATTTTGTGTCTGTGAGTTTCCTTTTATTCTCCTTTATCTAAGTTTTCTTATTAAGTTTCTTCTTCAGGGTTAATTTAAAATGAACCTCTCAGGTTCTGCTAAAAATCTGTAAGTGTCCGTCTTGGGATTGTGCCATATGTACAGGTTAATCGAGACAAAATTGTCATCACAAGATCCTTGTTTCATTTAGGAACTATGTATGTCTTTTTAAAACTCAAATGCTTTTAATATCCTTTGGTTAAGTTTTATAGTTCTCCTAAAGGTTTAATCCATTTATTACAGGACTATATATATATATATATATATATATATATATATATATATGTAATATGTGGATTCATAGAATATATCTAGTAATCTAATATATACATTGTATGTGGTATGTAAATAATACACCGGCACATACATTACTACTAGTATATATGAGTTATACACGTTATGTTTTTCATTGTATATTTATACTCTTACATTTTTAACTAGTATCTCCGATGAATTGTGCATGTTTATTTTGTGTTATTTTTGTTTTTAAAAAATATTCCCAGATTTTATTTTTGGTGCATTTGTATTTTGAGACAGGGTCTCCACATAGCCCAGGATGGGCTCGAGCTGTGGTGCTCCTCCTGCCTCAGCTGTCTTCTAGATCACTTGTTAGCCCCAGAAGTCTTGTCCCTGCTTTCCAGTGTTTACTCTTTTTGTTCCCTCTTGCTTGGCTGGCTGGCCCCAGAATGAGTGGCAGTGGGGCGGACCTCCCTGTGGCTCCTGTAACTCATGGGAATGCTTTGAAAGGTGCTGAATGCTACAGAGAGATGCTTCCCAAGGGTCCTGGGGCGTGGCTTTCACAGTGTTGCATGATTTTCTTCTGCCTTCCAAGTTCATGGACGGGCTTAGCATCCTGCTCCTTCCCCGAGTCCACCCCCAAGCTCGCCTGGGCTCACTGTGTGCCCTTCCCCACGCTGGCCACAGGGTCCTGAGGTCACTGCCCACTGGGATGATGCTTTCGGCCTCCTGCTAGGTCTGCTCTGAGGCCTCCTCTGCGGAAGCTTTCCTGCTCCTCTCCCCCCTCTGCTGCCACCTCCTGAGTTTGGGGAGGGCTGACCTTGTATTAGATTCTGGAGTCCCAGTGCAGAGTCCTTGACCTTCCTACTCCCTGCTGTGTTCCCAGTGCCCAAGCCCCTGCCCTGTGTGCAGCCAGAGCTCAGTGAAAGTGGCCTGGCCCCGAGGGCAAGGGAGAGAATCACTGGGAGAATTTTCTGTGAATGATACAAGTAGGCAATGCTGCTGACCTGGGTGACACTGTACTGCTCTTTAAAATTACTTTCTACATTCCTTCCATCTTCGACCACTGTTTTTGTTGGAATGTAGGCTTCTGAAGGTAGACCAGACACCAGCAAGGGAGAAAAATTTTACTAAAATGTTACATTTGCTGCCTCAAGTCTTGGCAGTGGAATACCTTCCACTGTTGGTCAGGAAGGTTTAGAAGATGTGGAGTTATTCTTGAATTTTTAATTTCATTTTATAAGGAAATTTACTGTTTGCTCTTTCTCCTGGGTAGGGAATTACCATCCGGCCACTTGTGGAGTTTCTCGATGTTAAGAGATCCAATAAGAAGCAGCAAGCAGTCAGTGAGGAGATCCACTGTCGGGTAGGTGCTGGCGGTGTGACAGTGCCAGGCAGCTTGAGGCTGTGTAGCTCACTGCTGGGAGAAGATGGAAATGGCAGAGAGCTGGGCAAGGTCGGAGCCGGGGAGCAGGAGGGAGGGCGATTTGTGTTTGTTGAACTCCTGTCTGAGCAAGGAGGGAGGAGGCTGTTTTTGCCGCCTTCAACCTGCATGCATTTCTAACTGACACTTACTACCATTCTTCAGGTATTTTCAAAGTTAGGATCAAGCCAATGTGAGCACCCACATAGCCGAAGTATTTCTAGTCATTGATATGGCAAGCATCTCAATTTGTTTGAAGACAATTAGTTGTTCTGTTGCTTGAGGTAAAGCAAACAAATAAGAAAGCAGCAGTGCCAGGGCTGTGAGCATTCAGGCAGGACACAGCTGGCGTGCAAATGACTGTCTTTAGGCAAAGGCCAAGCAGCTCACTTGCTTTCTTCTGTTTTCAGTTCTTTGATCATGTGAAGACTGGGATCGAAGATGTCTGTGGACACTGGGGTCACAACTTCTGGAGAGACAAGTAAGAAAGCCATGCTGTCCTCTTAGGATGGGCTGGGGGTCACTCTGGAAGCTGAACAAGGTGATGATTTGTGTTGTTGTTCAGGATTCTTTATCTTTGTGTGGTTCCATAGCGCGTCCCTTAAGGAAAAGTTCAGCTAGAGCAGAGATGTGGAATAAGAGTAGCTTAAAGAGTAGCTTAAGGTTATTTCTCTTCTATGTAACAGGCAGTTCTGGAATATTCCATGCCACCAAGTCCCGGGGCCTCGCTCTTCAGTCCCCCATGGGTGGCTTCGTTTCTATTTCCAGTTTGCACCATGATTGCTGCTCCACTACTGGCTATTGTAGGGTGAAGGAAGGACAGTAACGAGAAGACAGAGGCCACGTGCCACCTGCTTCCTAACTGAAGTCCTCAGAAGCTGTCGCACAGTTCTTATGCTTGTACCACATGGCCACAGCCCAGTTCTGTGGCTGCGCCCTCTGGCCCAGGACACCAAGGAATGTTAGCGTCGCGGTTAGAGCGGGCTTGTCACTGCCCTGCTGCCACGCTGGCCAGGGAGCCCCCATCTGCACCACCCTCTTAGCTCCCAAGGGGGCAGAAGACCATAGAGTGGGCTGAGACTCAGGCCCGCAGCCCAGTCCCTCGCAGAGATGCAGAGTGCCTGAGGAAGTCACAAGCTGGCGGACATCATGGACCTGCGTTCGCAAAGGCGTCAGCTACTGGAAAGGCTAAGGCGTTTGTATAAATCACGCCCACAGGCAGGATTGCACACGTGCTTCAGCATAAGCAGGAACTGAGCTGTGGGACCAGACGCCCAGGCTCGTGTGACAGCAGGGCTGGCACCCGCACCCCCAGGGGCCTCCTTGGAGGCCGCCTGTCCCCCTCCCACCTGGTGCCATGCTGCTGTTGCTGAGGCCATGGAACCAAGGGCGCCATAGTCAGGCTCTTGGTCACAAGGGGCGATCTGTGGGATGTGCCTTAGCAGGTCACCAGCTAAGTAAGACGTTGGCAGGCGGAGGCGCTTCAGCTGGGCCTTGAGAGGCAGGGAGGTTCTCGTCTGCACTAGAGGCTCCCTCTCCTTGCTGCCTCGCTGCCTTGCTGCCAGATGTCCCCCTGCACCTTCACGTGAGGCAGGCTAAACTGCCACGCTGTGCAGTTCAATGGGAGGGAGTCCCGAGAGCTTCTGTGTGTCCACATGTGCCGCGAGGACTCGGAGCCACATGAGAATAGGTCATAGACTCAGGCCTCCAGAGCGTTGCAGCCAACAGAGAAAGCAGTCACACCATGAGCAGGCCTGTGTGGGGGTGGAGGGACCCTTAAGTAAGACGACAAGCCACAGAACTAACGCTGGGTCAGCATCTACGCTTTACAGTACTGCTCACTGATGAAGGCCCTTTGGGCTGGCCTCGCTTCATAAATAAAGGACAGTGTTCTATGTGCAGAGAGAGTACCCAGATCACCACGTGGGGACAAAACAAGTAATCAAGTGCATTGTAAACAGTTGAAAAATGGCCCTTTCTCGTGCAAACACTCTCTTGCCTGCAGGCAGGGGGGAGGCCAGAGCGCGGACCCTACTTGGCATCTGGGACCTGGTCCTGCGAAGGTGAGACGGAGCCTGGCCTGGGCCCTGCCGGGGAAGCCACCCGCCGTCCCGCCGTCCCGCCGTCCCACAGTGGGCCCCTCACTGCTCCCTTCAGCCCTCCACTGAGGAGGCACGCGTTCCCTCCCCCTGGCATCCTGTCGTACTTTCCCGGAGCAGCCTGCACGCAGCCGGGTTTCCTCTCAGAAGTTTAGATGGAGCCCCCACCTGCATCGTTTCTTTAGCTCCCACAGGGGACAGAAAAGAGAGGAGAGTGGGCTGAGATGCGGCCCGCAGCCTGGACACCGGGGGAGGAGGGCAGGCGGTCACTTCGGCCACGCGGGCTCCGTGTGGGACGTCAGAAGCCTGGCCCTGTCCTCGCAGCGGAGGACAGAGCCCTGCATGTGCCCAGGCAGGCAGCTCAGGGCGTGCTGAGGCCAGCAGGGCCTCCTGTGCTGCCCGCCGGAGAGGCAGTGTGGTGCTGTGTCTCCCATTTCCTTCAGCATCAAATACAGTTCATTTAGTGAGTTCTGTGAGCAGCGATAGATCTCCATGCACAATTATTTCCAGGTAAATTTCAAATAATTTCCTGTACTTTCACATGTACTTGGCATCATAGGTAGAATAAAGAAGAGTAATATTTTAAAAAATTAGTTGTCTCAGATCATATCTCGAGTTTGTACATAGTTGTTGATGTCACTAAGACTTACATACAGAAAGAAGAGGCCATTTTCGGCAGGTTGGGCACTTCTCCTTTCCTTCCAGGTCCCTTTTGCTGTGGGTTTCCACTGCTCTGGCAGAGAAGTCTTGAGACATCTGATCCTTTGGGAATGCAGTGCAAGGGCCGTACGGTGCAGACCTTTCTCAGACTCAGCCCAGGAGTCTAATGATGGTGAAAGAGAATACCTGTGTGTGGCTTGGCAGAGAAATGAAAGGGTAACAAGAAAGCAAACAAAGAAAACACAGTCCCTCCGCAAAGTGGATCCGACGCCATTGTCCTTGATATTTATCCTTTCAATTGCTGATGTTTAGTGAGAGGCTAAAACAATTAACGATACAAGATGTTAAAGAAGGTGTTGTATCCCTGTGGGGGATCCTGGCCCGATGGATGGGCCTAACACGAAATGAAAAATAAACATAGAAACAGTAGGCCCAGTCTTCAGCTGGTGGCTGTTCAATAGCCGCGTGCTTCTGAATGGCTCTGCTTTAATTATTCAGAGCCCTCTAGTATTTAGACCGAAGGACCAGTGCCAAGAATGCGAGTGAACATTGGTTCCTTTGATAGCCCAGGTGTGCCTGTAAACCTCCTTGAGTTTATGGTCCTTACTGCAGTACACTTCTTTCTTTCTCAACAATAATTATGGCGGGCCCTCTCTACCTCCTGGCATCATAATGTTGCATAACGAACCATTGCAAAACTCCGCAGCTCAGAATGGCAGCCATTCACGGTAGCAGGCCACAGGTCAAGAGGTCTCTGGTCAGCCGGGCTGGGCTGCCCGGTGCTCACCTGAGCCCAGCTGTGACTGCAGTGAGGCAGCTCTGCCTCTTTCTACTGTGTTCCCCTTCTTCCATGCCGCCCTGTGCCTGCTTTGGTGCAGTAACCATCGGAGCCCAAGACATCGGCTCCAGGGCACAAGCCTGTGCCTGTGCGAGGTCTCTTCTGCCACTGTCAGGTCTGCTAGTAGCCCACTGACCAAAACAAGCAGCATCACTGAGCTCAGAGCTGTGGACAGGGAAGGGCTGGGCACTGAGGCCGTGGTGGGTAGACCTTGCCAGGTGACACAGCGACAGCAGCTGTGGGCATGGAGCCATTGGCCATTCTATTACACACGCAAGTGACAGGCCAGGCATTACTTTAGACAAGTCCCTGTGCATACAGACCCGACATTCCTAGGCAGGAGGCAGTAAGCGATGTAAGCAGGTGAACCGCGTGTGATGCTGGGAAGAGACAGCCGGAAACCAGTATTGAGAGTGGGATACGGGACTGCAGCATGATGGGCAGGCCAGGCTCCCTGTAAGAAGCAGCTGTTGAAGAAGGACCTGAAATCGGTGTATGCCTGGCCCTGCAGTATCTGGGAAGAACGTTCCGAGTAGAGGAACAATTAGTTCAGGGCCCAGGGCCTGCGGATGTGCCAGACACAGGAAGGCCCCAAGGGAAGCTGTAGGTGGGGGTGAGGAGTGCGGGCTGAGAGGTGCAGACCCGGTGGGACAGGGCTGCAGCTCTCTGGGCTTTTGCCTGGCGTGGAAGCATGGCAGACTCCTCGTTTTGTATGCTCACACACAGGAACACCTGGCTTCTGTGGGGACAGGACAGGGGTGGAGTACTGTCCAGTGAAGAGGATCAAGTGTTAGGCCCTGGTGACGGCCCTGGAAGTGGGGACACAGGGTTGGGCTCTGTGCATACCGATGGTGAAAAGGGCAGAGATTGCAGCGAGGGAGCATGTGGAACAGCAGGCTGTGAGGGCTGCCGAGATGCAGCGCCACACCTTGGCAGTGGAAGCCTGGCGTCTGGCGGCGCTGCAGGCTGGAAGCCAGGGAGGAGGGGCCCGCGGACCACGTGCTCCAGGGCTGGCGGGAAGGTCTGTTCCAGGGCTCTCTCCTTCCTTCCAGGTGGCTCTCTTCTCCCTGACTCTTCACGTTGGCTTCCCTCTGTCCACGGCTGTGTCCGAATGACCCCTTCTGAGGAGGACACCAGCCGTCCTGGATGAGTGCCCACCCTAATGGCTTGATCTCATTTAGTCACGCTTATAAAGACCTTCCCCCAAAGGTAGTCACATGCCGATGCTCCAGGGAGTAGGCATTGATCACGTGGACTTTTGGTGGGACAGAGTGCAGCCCATACCATGGGCCCTGTTAGGAGACCACCAACAATGACACCTAGTAGAGTCACAATTCGCTGGGCTGGGCAGGACCGTGGGGAAGAGCAGCTCCGTGTGGACACAGGCAGTCTGAGGTGTCAGCTGACTCAGATGCTGGTAGCCCAGGCTTGTTCCCATCCAGGGTTTGGGGGAGGGAGAGAAGCAGGGGTGTCAACTTCAGGCGTCGCCTGTGTGGAGACGCAGTGCAAAGCCAAGAGAATGGCTCAGGTGCCCCAGGTGAGCACAGTGGGGAAGAGGACCTTGCACGCACCCCACAGCACCCCACATTTAGGAGTGGGAGAGAAGAAAAGGATCCCAAAGGGAGGTGAGGAAGATGATGTGGACCCCAGGGAGGCAGTGAAGGCAGTGGAGTGAGCAGGCGAAACCAGGAAGGCGAGGACCGACTGGCCCTGGAGTGTGGGCTGAGAGCAGCCTCGGGAGTGTCGCTGGTAGAAGCCTGAGCTGTGCATGTCCAGGAGCTGTAGGAGAGGAACCGGGTCTAGCCAGTCCTGACTGCAGGTCGGAGTAATCTTGCTGAAGGAGGAAGTGGAAAAATGGTGAATATCCTTAGTGAATGCTAACATGTACGTTACAGTCATATAAAAAGTATCAGTGTGTATATATTCATGGGTAAATTTCACACATGTATAGTGCATGTACTTATGCTCATATAAACCACACATTATAATCAAACCAGCTAACTGCTGCGACCAAGTTTTACTTGGAGGAGGAGTTTTGAGTTGCTTTTTAGTCAGCACAATATTCAGCCATTGAAAGTGTGACTTTCTTTATTTTATAGGTTTAAGAAGTTTGATGACAAGTATCTTCGGAAGCTTTTGATTCGGGAAAACCAACCTAAGTCCAGCATCGTGTCTCTGTATAAAAAGCTTGAGATCAAGCACGCCATTGAGATGGCCGAGACAGGGATGATCAGCACTGTCCCTTCGTTCGCATCCCTAAAGTAAGCACGGATTTTGCCAAGAAAAGTTAGTACTGCTGCATACGCACCGGTGATTCTTTGAAATCAGAAGTAACACAAAATAGACCTACATCCTGGAGAAATCCTGGAATTCTCATTTAGATAATGCAGATCTCAGAGTAGAATGAAATTCTGGCTTAAGTAGAATGGCCTAGAACTACGTGTCCTGTGTTGCGATGCTCCAGGTTACGCTAGCTTAGGATTGTATTAGGAAAGCATGCTGTTATGTTTAGGATGTTGTGCCCTTACTACATTTGCTTGGGCAAAGTCTGCATTCACCTGAAACAGAGGAAGCCCCTCAGCCGGTGCTGGGAAGCAACCTGTTTTAGGTTGGGTTATAATTGGCACTCAGATGTGAACGTGTTAATAGAGCTGTTTCCTCAGATTATTTACAGGCTTGCAGCTGAAGTTACAAGGGACAATAATGACAGGGACATGAATCCAGGGGGTCACAGTGCCACCTGCACATGGGAAAAGCCCAAGGTTGTTTAGATAATGCAGGTGCCTGGCCCCACTCCCCAGAATCGGAACCTTTGGTGCTGAATGCCAGGCATATTTAACAGCTCTTCAGATATTTCTAATATGCAGCCAGGACTGAGATCCAGGCCTACTCTGTCTCCCAAGTTTTGTAAAAGAGGAAGCAAAGTCAGACTGATGCAGGGACTTCCCCAGAGTCTTTGGACCATAAGTAGCCAAACCACCAGCGCAGCACTCTGCGGCCAGTGCGAGTCCACATTGTGCAGACATCAGCTCTGCTCGGTGGCAGAAGGGACAGAAAGCGTAGGCTCCCAGGGAGTTACTCGACTGTTGATGAGCTTGAAGCTCACGCACAGTAAATTTAACTTCATTAACATGTTAACTATGAGGAAGCTGGAGTGAGAGAGGAGGAAATTCTACGTAATATCTAGCCCAATGAACTGGGGTCTTTTCTAGGAATCTAAGGCGATAAGAGTTCATGTGGTCCAGAATAAAATGAATGGCAGGGAACCTCAGAGGTAGACGTGTCACCTAGCAGAAGCAGCAGCGGGCCGAGCTGTGGCATGACTGGCTTTGGTCCTGGCTCTGTGGCTACCTCTGCGTGACCTTGAGCTGGCCCACATATTTCCCGGAGCTTGAGAGTTCAGCCAAAGCTGGGTGGGCGTAGACACCATCGTCAAGGCCACCTCCACCTTAAGAGTTTATGGTCTCTCTCATGCAGGCCTCCATTTGCAGTTAGAGCCAGGGGCAGCTCCGCAATCCTGTTTTCAAAGGAGATCCATGATTTTTATGATCTCCGTTTTGCTCTCTGTGGTGCATTCTGAAGCTGGCAGTAAGCAGAGCAAAGACAGTTTAGGTTGAGGTAGATTATACACTGAAAATGACTATTTGTATAGTCAGGCAACGGAGTCTATGTTGAGCATTTTACTTTTCCTAACATCCTTTCTGTGAAGGAAAAAGTGAAGCAAGTAGGGAGGTGATGAGAAATGAAATTTCTAGAAGTGATGTGTGTCATGAGACCGCTTGGAAGGTGGGTGGTGCAGGGCAGCTTGTCATTTCGTGGCCCAGAGGAGAGAACAGTGATGTCGAAGTAGATGGAATTGGCACGTAGATCGCTTGCACTGGAGCGCTCTGTCAGCCACAGACAGGGGAGCTGAGAGCTTCAGAGTACACACAAGTTGGACCCCAGAAAAAAACTTGGAACCTAGGGCCTACACAGCAGGAGGAGCTGCCTGTGCAGCTGCAGCTTGCTGCTTTGCAGGCCTTCGCCCAGCCCTCCATGGAAGGAAGTCTAGCCTAGCAATGTCTCCACTGCGGCTGTGGGAATCACTGAAGGCTGCTGCTCCCACTAGCACAGACATTCCCGGGACGATTTTAAACAGCAGTACTTGTACCTAAGAAGATACTTACAAAAAATTATATAAGCCATTGAGATTAAGGAGAAGATGAACCTTCTAAGTAAGAGAAGTCTGTCTGCTGAAGTCTGCTGTTTCTGTTCATGCACGCCTTTGTCCATTGTCCTGCTACTGGTGTTTTGATTTACAGTAATGATGAAGTTTACATTATAAAACATGGCATCTGTTTTCTTTGTGTATCACGGCACATGTTCTATAAGATGAGTGATGTGCGTATTGGGTTTTTCTGTTTTATTTGCTTACTTTTATGTGTTTTTGTTGTGCCATATATTTTTGAAGGCTCCTTAAAGCCTTTTAGAAGAAATTAGAGTGAAGAAAGTACAAATAGTCAATTCTCATTATTTGTGGTGGTTCTCCTGTATTTGCTAATCCTGTAATGAACTGTGGCTCTGGGAGACCTCCAGCTTGGGGACCCTGAAAGTCTCCAGTCATAGAAGTTTCACCAGCCAATCGGTGTGTTTTACGTACATCTTTATGACACCTTATTCAGTATCAATATGGTGCGTGTACTATGTATGCATATATATATATATATATACATGTGAGTATATGTGTAAATACATGCATGTGTATAAATATATGTATATAAATATATGTTCGTATTTCATACACATATTTCATGTGTATGTGTGTGTATTTATATATATTTATACACACACATACTTATACACAGACAGTACCTGTGGCCGACATTAATCACTAACCCTGGGCTTGGGGCCAACAGTGCTGGCCCTCACGTGTGGGTGTGGTGTCTGTGACACCAACTTCCTCCACAGCACATCTGTGTTGGGACACTGTTCTGCACCCCAGCATTCAAAAACATTTTGAGGTATTGGATAATTCCCACATGCTGACTTTTAAGCGAAGATTTCCCCTCTCAAATAACGGTATCATTGTTGCTAGGGAAGATGCTCAGTGTCGCTAGCACCCCAGAAAGGTGAAGCCTCCTCTTTCCTATTTTGCACAGTGATTGCCGGGAAGAAAGAATAAGGAAGCTCACACCTGGTGAGATGGATGAAATTCGAGACATACTATCAAGGAATCTCTACCAGATCCGTCAGCGAGTGAGAAGAGTTTATTTCCTGAAGTATCTGCTTCCCTTTTGCTGCCAGTGTGCTTTCTGCCTTTGTGCTGCATGCGAGGCCCCGTCTTTGGCCCCTCGTGGGTGCCTCCCTGGCCCCTCCGCTTCTGCAGTGCCTCTGTCCACAGCACCCCATCTTTCCGGGCTGCAGACCTCTACAGCACAGCATGGACAGAGCCTGAGGCGCACGTGCTCGCAGCTGGAAGCATGCCCTGGCCAGTGGTGCTGCAATGAAGGGTTTTTAAAGGGAACACCTCGCAGTGTAGAGGGATCACTCAAGGGTACTGGTCCTCGCGGGCAGGTGCTTGGGGCACAGCCACCTCCTCTCCTGCTCTTAGCAAGCCTCTGTACTTCAGTGGAAACACACGTCTTCCTGATGTGCTCCTAAGGTGGCTGAGGCTCAGCGTGTGCAGATCCCCATGCTCTCTTTCAGCACAGGGCTTGAGTTCCCTTGTTCAGTCCTCTGGGAAGTGGCAGGATCACTGTTGGCTCCATTTCCAGATGAAGAAACTGAGGCACCAGGAGGCCCATGGGGCACACAGCTTGCCAGGGTGGCCTCCCTCCTGCGGACCATGGACTCTTCAGCTGCCTGGCGGGCTCCCGCTGGCTGCCCTCCCCTCCTCCTAATTTTACCTCTGCCTCTTCTCTGAAACATCCTGAGAAGGCCGCATTCTCCTGTTTAAGGGAAGACAACAGTACTGGCAGGGCAGCTTCTGGGCTAAATTCTTCCTGCACAGTTGGGGGCCCTCTGTCTAGCTTCTACTTCATCGGGCCCTAATGCCAATTGCTCCACCCTGCCCCGGCACCCTTGCTCAGTCCTTGGGTGCCTGTGTCTCTCTCTCTCTCTCTCTCTGTGTCTATGTCTCTGTGTGTGTCTCTCTCTCTGTCACTCTCTGTCTCTCTTTGTCTCTATCTCTTTGTCTCTGTATGTCTCTATCTCTGTCTCTCTTTGTTCTGTCTATCTCTGTCTCTATGTCTCTGTCTCTGTCTCTATTTCTGTCTTTCTGTATGTCTCTATTTCTGTCTCTCTGCCTCTGTCTCTGCCTGTCTCTGTCTCTCTGCCTCTGTCTCTGTCTCTCTGTCTCTCTCTGTCTCTGTCAGTGT